GTCTGGCAGATTTGGGTAATCTTGTGAAGGGCAATTGGTGGGAATGGACACACAAGAAACTCTGCTTCTCCTTAAACTTTCCCAACACACACAGCCAGCAATGGGAACGTGAAACAGTGAACCAGAAAAATTTTGGTCTAAAATTATAGCCACTTATACAGATCAGGAAAGAATCAGGAATGAGGTTCAAGGACGTAAGCAGAGTACAAGGGATCTCCACATAGTCTGAAGTTCAAGTACACACTGTCATCTGCTGAAATAATGTTTATTTATATGCATGTATACAATACAAGACTCAAGGCAAAGGGTCTCTCATATATTGAGCATTGATTGTGGGGAGCAATTCAGACTAGACTGTTACTGGAATTAAGACTTATTTTATGCATCTGCTCTCCCACAATATGGCGCTGGGAGAGGAGGAAACAGCTTCTACACAGCTGCCTCCAGTTCAACCAATAAACTGTAGGACCTGCTCCTGATTGGAGGAGAGCAGCGTACTCGGCGTGTGGGTAGCAGAGTTGGGATTGGTGGAAGAGGACTATAAAGGAGGAGAGAGACAATATGCACCAGGAACATCTATGAGGAACACCTGAGCAGCCCCCGAGAGAGCCGGCTGGCGGTGTGCCACTCCCCCGCGGAAGTGGGGAAAGTGGCAGGGGGAACCGCCCTTCCACGGAGGTGGAAGGGACGGTAGCCAACCCGGGAAGAACCAGCAGCAAACCCAGGGAGGGCCGAGCAGACAAAAGAACAGCGCAGGGTCCTGTGTCGTTCCTCCACGAAGAGGGGGAGCGACATAATGGTGCCGTGACTTGGATATGAAGCCTAGGCAGGATTCAGTGTCGCTCCTCCATGAAGAGGGGGAGCAACAATTGATAATTATTAAATTATTAAATGAATCAAGATCTATTTCAGAACTTATTCATCATTTTCTGTGAAGACAATTTGACAAAAAACCTTTCATGTGGAATTTTGAAAAGTAGTGAGTCAGCTGCTTGGCCATTTCTAATATCATTTATCCATTTTCAGAGATTTTGTCTATAGCCTGCCTTGCTTGTGCAAACTTTATAATCAACTGAAATGATCTTGAAGCACTGTCTCAGAATTTACTTATTTATTTTATTTTAATTAAATAATTAATTCATTAATTTGAAGCCAGAGTTACAGAAAGACAATGAAGAGACAGGAAAAGATATCCTTCCTTTAATTCCTCACTTTGCAAATGGCAAACCATCCTGGGTTGGGCCAAGCCAAGTGCAGGAGCCCAGAACTCCATCTAGCTCTCCCACTTGGGAGGTAAGGACCCAAGGACTTGTGCCATTTCTTGCTGCTTTTCCCAGGCCATTAGCAGCGAACTGGATCAGAAGAGTAGTAGCCAGGATCTAAATCAGTTCTCATTAGAAATGGCACCGTTGGAAATGGCCGGTTTATACACTGTGTCTTAGCATACCCCCAGAACTTATTTCTTAAGAAAACTCTTCAGTGTTGGAGTGGTTCCTTAGTGGAGGAACTTGTGTTGAGTACAAAGAAAAAAGTAGAGCATAGAGCCTTGAGTTTTGGTGCAGTAGGTTAAACCACTGCTTTCATCCCATGTAAGAATGCAGGTTCAAGTCTAGGGGGCTCCACTTCCAATCCAAATTCATGCTGATGTATGTGCCTAGGAAAGCAATAGAAGATGGCCCATGCACTTAAGCCCCATGCTACCCAGCTGGGAGGCCCCAGTGGGGTTACAGACTTCTGGTTTCAGCCAGGTCCAGACCCCTAACTCTCTTTCAAATAAATAAAATCTTAAAAAACAAAGATAGTGCATAACTCTTTCAGAGCTTGAAGGAAATACCTTCAAGAAGTGCAAGTGCACTGCCCAGGAAACAGAATTCCCTGTTTCCTTCTGCCCTTCAGTCAGATTAAACCATGCCACACATGCAGCCTTTAATAGAAGCAGGAAGCAGGGATTTCAAACCAGTCTCTGTGCATCTAGCCTGATCTCCCTTCTGTGAAGCAAAGAATGTTCCTCAGTGGACACAGTGAGGTAATGTGAAGTGTCTTTGTCCTTGCTATTAGATCAGCATCAGAATCCTCTTTGGAGGGAGTGGATTAAGGTGGCAATAGCAAACCCTGGAACACAGCACAGCTGCCATGAGCTCCTGGGCTTGTCATACATGACATGTTCATCAAAATGATCTGGGGGCCAGCACAGTGGTGTAGCAGGTCAAGGACTGCCTACAGTGCTAGGATCCCATAGGGGCGCCAGTTTTAATCCTGGCTGCTCCACTTCCAATCAAGCTCTCTGCTATGGCCTGGGAAAGCAGTAGAATATGGCCCAAGTCCTTGGGCCCTGCACCATGTGGGAGACATGAAGGAAGCTCCTGGCTCCTGGCTTCAGATCGACACAGTTCCGGCCGTTGCTGCTGGGGAGTGAACCAGCGGATGGAAGACTTCTCTCTCTGTTTCTCCTTCTCTCTCTCTGTAATTCTGACTTTCAAGTAAATAAATAAATCTTTTTTATAAAGTGGGGGGATCTGGAACCTATTCCCAACTATCACACACTTCAGGTTCCACTGACTTCACTGTATCTTAAGGTCATTATCAAACCATCTAGTGTTAATACAGCAATGAATGCTTCTTTAGCTGAATCACTAACTTGTAAGGTGATCAGTAAACATTGTGACAACTTACATGTTCATTAACCATCCACTGGGTTTAAATCTGACTCAGCTATTAAGCATCCATAGCAAATAGTTCATTCTGTACAATAAACTGAATGTTTATGTACCCTCAAAATTCATATGCTGAAACACACCCTCCAAAGTTCTGTTTTATGAAGCAGAACCTAAATAAGTGACTGAGTCACAGGGAGGAGCCCTCACTAGATCAGAGTCCTTAAAATGGGCTAACAAGAGATCAGAATTATTCCCTTCTGCCACAGGTCCACGTGACAAAAAATGCTATTTATGAACAAAACACTGAATCTCTAAATCTGATGCCTTTATCCCACACTTCCAGGCTCCAGAACAGTGAGGAATATATGTCAGTTGTATAGATATTAAAAATCCAGGGGAGAAGTTCCAAGAAGGTGGAGTAGGAAGGGAACTTACTGCTCTAATCTAGGAGAAGATAGCTTAAAAAAAAGTGGAGAGAGTGCGGTCTCCGGGAAGAGTTAGGGAGAAAACGGCAGAGGAAACTCAATGCAAAGTAGAGGGACATGGTGTACTTATCTGGAGGGAATGGATGCCAACAGCTCAGACTCCAGCAGCCGAGAACCTACACTCCGGCATTGGAGAGTGAAGTGAGATCAGACTGCAGCAGCCCAAGCACTGGCATTAAAGCTGCAGGAAGAGCCAAGAGGGAACCTGGCTTGTAGCCCCATGGGAGATAGTGTACCTGCCAACTAGAGGATACAAAAAAAGGAAGGACACATTTCTCTCTCCCCATCACTTTACAACAGTGTCCTGAAACAAGCTGATAGAGCAGGCATTATTTTGGACATAAGTAACAGCTATGCCAGCTCATGTCCATGCCCAGCAACCAGCCAAATGAAGACTCCTGACTCTGGTAGGGAGAACTAATAGGGGGCTGGAAGCTCAGAACTGTGGGAGGTTTGTGTGCTGGGAGTGTGAAAAAAAAAAATGAGGCTGTGTGGAAGGACTCACAGAGTGCTGGGATTTGGACAGTCACGGTGGGAGATTCCACATGCTCAGGGCTTCCTGGTTCCTGGTGAGGGACATTGCTGGGGAATCTGAGCTTACACAGAGGACTGTGCAGATCCTTTGTATGGTCCTTGGGGAAGAACAAATGAATATTGTACCCAATGGGCTAGCGTTCAGGCACTGGTCTTCTTTGAGGAGAGGAGCTCAGCTGAGCAGAATCATTAAAAAAGAGAGAGAGAGAGATTTACAGCACAAAACCTGAGTGTGTCACCTTAGACACGACCTTCACCCTGGAGAACTAAACAGCGATCCCTGGCCACAACTACTAGAAGCCTCTAGTTATTCATTGAAAGCAGACACTCCACTTATCTACAGAGGCGCTCTTCCAAGAAACAAGAATAAGGAAGACAACATGATGCCCATAAAAGAACACACACTTCAATACTAGATTTTGAAGATGATGAGATGGAAGGAATGCAAAAAATGGAATTCAAAAAATGATCATAAGATTACATAGAAGTAATCAGAAGCAAGTGCACAAACTACTGAAATCTGTACAGGACATGAAAGAAAATTTCTCTCATGAAATTGAGATCTTAAGGAGAAATCAAAATGAAATGAAGAATTCAGTAGAACAAATAAAAAATGCAGTGGAAAGCCTTAACAACAGAATTGTTGATGCAGAAGAAAGAGTATCTGACTTAGAAGACAAAACGGGCCAGCGCCGCAGCTCAATAGGCTAATCCTCTGCCTAGCGGCGCCGGCACACCAGGTTCTAGTCCCTGTCAGGGCGCCAGATTCTGTCCCAGTTGCCCCTCTTCCAGGCCAGCTCTCTGCTGTGGCCCGGGAGTGCAGTGGAGGATTGCCCAAGTCCTTGGGCCCTGCACCCACATGGGAGACCAGGATAAGCACCTGGCTCTTGCCTTCAGATCAGCGCGGTGCGCCGCTGCCCCGCGCCGGCCGTGGTGACCATTGGAGGGTGAATCAATGGTAAAAGGAAGACCTTTCTCTCTCTCTCTCTCTCTCTCTCTCTCTCTCTTTCTCTCTCACTGTCCACTCTGCCTGAAAAAAAAAGAAGAAGAATAAGACAAAACACAGGAAATTATACAATCAAACCAAAACCAAAAGGAGATATTAGAAAACTAAAAACCACTGTTGGGAATTTACAATATACCATCAAATGACCCAACATATGGGTTCGAGGAGTTGCAAAAGGCAGGGAAAGAAACAAAAGATTAGAAGGCCTTTTTAGTGAAATAATAAGAAAAAATTTGCTTAATTTGGAAAATGTAAGGGACATCCAAGTACAGGAAGCACATAGAACTCCTGATAGATATGATCAGAAAAGAAAGATCTTCACCACGACACATTGTTATCAAACTCACTACAGTAAAACATAAAGAAAAGATTCTAAAAGTTGCACAAGAGAAATGCCAGATAACTTTCAGAGGATCTCCAATTGGGCTCACATTGGACTTCTCATCAGAAGCCCTACAGACTAGGAGTTAATGGCGAGATATATTCCAAGTCTTAAGAGAAAAAAATCAACCCAGAATATCATATCCTGCAAAGCTCTCATTTATTTTCTTTTCCAGACTAAGAAAGGTTTTATTTTTAAGACAAAACAAATAGCATTAACATACATCCAAATGCCAATGCAAGAGTTCACTGGGTTTTATAAAAGAGAAGATTACACTTTAGTATCAACTGGAAACAAGAACCACTGAAAAACCACCAGTGCTTCTAGTGACATGGGTACAACATGTGCTTGTCTAAGTAGTCATTCAGTGTGCTTCTTTGTGAAATATATGACAAGAGCGAAGCAATGCAAGGCAAAATGGAAGGTGGCCAATGCTTTAAGACCCTTTTTTCTGCTCCAATGTGCTCTTATTCTGCTTTGGAGAACTCAAGTAATCAGCAGGTCATTTTACAAAGAGTTTGAGTATCAAAGAACACTTTAAAAGTCTGAAATAGATTAGAGGCCATAACTAAAATTATGTAGGGAGGTCAGTGTGGGAGAAAATAGTTTGTGTTCTCAAAAGCCAGATTTTACACAATGGCAGGCACTAAATCTAGTTAGGTGTGTTTGCAGTAGAAAAGGCGACATGGATCTTAGTAAAGGCTGGTCTTTTTCATGATGCGCAGGAACTCTTGCTCATTGACTTCTCCATCTCCATCTGGATCAGCTTCATCAATCATTTCCTGTAGCTCCTCATCTGTCAGGTTCTCGCCCAACTCCTTGGCCACGCGTTTCAGATTTTTGAATGATATCTTCCCAGTTTCATCATCATCGAAGAGCTTGAAAGCTTTCAGAATTTCTTCTTTGGTATCTTTCTCAGACATTTTCTGAGTCATCACAGTCAAAACCTCACTAAAGTTCATTTTTCCAGTGCCTTCCTTATCAATTTCACTTATCATTTTCTTGATTTCTTCTTTCGTGGGTTCAAACCCCAGGGCCTTCATTGTCACCTTAAGTTCTTTAACATCTATGGTCCCAGTTCCATCAGCATCAAAGAGATCAAAAAGCTTCCCTGATTTCTTGTTTCTGCTCTTCAGTAAGCTCAGGCTTAGGACTCATCCTTTTCCGCTGGGCACTAGATGTTATATTTCCCTTCTTAAAGTTAGAGGCCATAGCCAACTCACTCCGATGCCCATTGTTAAAGCAACCTACGTACACACAGACTCGGTGCCATTCCACCACCCCGCACATGGCACAGCTCCCTGTTGGCCGCCAGCTTACCTCCGGGGCTCCCCATTGGTCTACGTCTCCAAAGTTCTCATTTATGAATGAAGGTGAAATAAAGACCTTTCATAACAAACAAAAATTGAAAGAATTTGTCACCACCCATTCAGCCCTACAAAAGATGCTTAAGGATGTGATACACACAGAAACACAGAAACATGGTCATGATTAGGAAAGAAGGGAAAGGAAGAACATCTCTCAGTAAAAGTTCAAAGGAAGTTGGAAGTAAAAAATAGGAATATTTTTGGGAAATGGCAGGGCAGAGTCATTATTTATCAATAGTCACTTTGAAGGGAAACTATCTCAATTCTCCATTTCAAAGGAACCTACAGTTCCATTCATATTGTTGCAAATGACATGAATTCATCCATTTTTATAGATGAATAGTATTCCATGTGCCCACAGGTGTATGAAGAAATGTTCTCTCTCACTCATCATCAGGGAAATGCAAATGAAAATCATGATGGCCCATCACCTGACTCCAGGTAGAAGGGCTTTTATCAAAGACCCAAATAACAAGTGCTGGTCAAGTGTGGAGAAAAGAGAATCCTTGCCCACTATTGGACATGTAAATTAGGACAGCCATTGTGGAAAACTTTAGAGACTCCTCAAAAAGCTAAAACTAGAGCCACCATCCAATCCAGCGTTCCACTCTTGAGTACATATGCAGGGAAAGGAAGTCAGTCTATGGAAGAGATGCTGCACTTGCAAGTTCACTGCAGCATAATAGCTGAGACATAGAAACAACCACAGAGCTCATCTAATGATGAAGGGATAAAATCTGGCACATCTGCACAACGGAACATAAACCAGGAAATTTTAACACCAAGTTACACGTAACGAAGGCAGCTCTATCAGATGGGGGTAAACCCCCAGCGATTTCCCAAGTCTCCTGTCCAGGGGTCACGTGGGCCGAGGATACAAACGCCTCCCTTCTGGGTCTTCCACAAGCACCTCTGGTCACTGATGCCGTTCAAGCAAGGGACCATGCACTCTAAAAGTGGATGTAAACACGCGTGGTCAGACCGTACAGTGAATTCCAACAGCTGAGTAGTGAAAGTGAGAGTAGAGCTCCGTGAAATGTAACTTGGTGAACTCTGGAATATTTGTGTGGCTTTAAAACATCAGGTGAAACTTGGAGGATTCAACTTGTCTAAGGTAAGGGTCTTTCCTCTCTATTCCTCCAAAGCCCAGCAGGGGACAGCAGGAAAGAGCAGGGAGGCAGGAGGGAAGGACCCCACAGCAGCGCCACTGCCAGGGGCTGGATCTGGGTCTCATTCCCAGAAAGGACTTGAGCCGCCCTGCGCAGAAGAGGATAGGATCTGTCCTTCCACATCACATGCAGGACTCTGCTGCAGCCCCCAGGGGGAAGACCAAGTAGAAGCTGCGCATACAAGGCACATGCGGCTACCCCCCACCTCCTCTGGGCCCCACAGTTACACTGCACCTAGGGCTGGGCCCCCAGCGCCCAAGCCAACACAGAGACAGCGCTGGGGAAGGGAAGGGGGCCTTGGTGACTAAGCGCCATGGTGCACTCACCAGGCCAGGGCGCCGCAGTCAGAAACAAGTTCCTCGCTCCCTTGCTCCCCTCTTAACTCTGTCTGGTCTGGCTCCTCGAGAATCCACTCTTAAGAAGCTGAAAATGAAAATATATCCGATCACCAAAATAAGTGCTGAGGGGAGGTGAACAGAAATCAAACCGCACTCATATCTTGCTAGCCTTGGAGATTTGTTGTTGTTGTTACATATTTATTTATTTATTTTTAATTTATTTTTAAGGAATATAAATGTCATAAGTACAACTTTAGGAATATAGTTATCCTTCCCACCATATCCATCCTCCCACCCCTCCCCCTCCTCCCTCTCCCCTTCCCAGTCCCATTCTGCATTGCGGCGCATTTGCAAGTATCTTTGCACACAGAAGACCAACTCCATACACAGTAGAGATTTTAACAGCGTTAGTCAACAGGCAGAAGACAGGTTTGTGGAATCCCACGCTAGGAACATCCCTGGGTTCCCGCAAGTTTCTGGACCGCTCTGCCCCTGCTCCTCACCGATGGAGTCCCTGTCCCTCTGTCCACTGGTGAGCCTTCCGACAGGCAGGGGCTGCCCTTCCACATGCCTGGAGCCACTGCCTGTGTTACAGCGCACATTCTTGGCTGGGTGTGCACGGTGTTCCGGAAGAGCTGAGGCTGTGGGGAAACTAGCGCGGTCATTTTCTCCCGCTGCTTCTGGTTGCTGGAAGTGCACTATTAAATAGAAGGCTACCTATGTGGACACTGTAATAGGAAGCCCTCTTTCTCTCACAGTTGTGCTAATTGAGGGAACTGGTGGAATCTGCCTCTAGGGTTGCTTTTTTACCAGGGAAAGGTAGAATCATGTGACAGAGTGCACAACAGACATTGAATGTCACCCGACGTGTCCCTGTAGGCGGACCACTCTCATGAGGCACCTGGGGATCTAATGGCTGCTGTGAGGAGCCAGGGGCATTATTGCCAGGAATGATTGTGGCTTAAAATATTATATCTAACAGGTGCAGTATGACATGGGGTTAATTGGCCCCTATACGAATTTCCTACCCAAATGAGATGATAGATTCTTTCTCTTCAAATTCAGTTCTGAGTGCCCTTTGTGTCTCTGTTTCTTTTAAAATTATCTACCAGAAATTTGAAAGTTCATAATCTTATTTTTTTGAGTGACAGTGAGACAAAGAGAGGGAGACACACATGCAGAGAAAGACAGAGAGGTGGCTGCCATTTACCCATTCACGTATCAGGTGCCCGCAGTGCCACAGCTAACACTGTCAGGAACTCTCTGGCCTCAGCTCACCTTCTCAGCCTGCAAGCTGAGTTTATGCAAATAACATCAATGAAAGTCATTTGTAATTTTCCATGAATGCAAAATCTGGTATCCATTTCAAGACTTTGATGGAAACTTCATCTTCTCTCAGATGAGACTGAAAGTGAAAGCCGGGCAAGGTTTCTTTGAAATAGAATTCATGGTGAGAAATGAGCTGTCTTTTCTTCTAATTACATCTAATGTTTCTATTAGGCAACCAAACATAGTTCCAGGGACACTTGAATGCTTTTGTGAATTTTTGTGTAATAACACAGCTTTCTACCTACCATCCAACTCCATTCCTGATTAAGGAAATCCACTGTCTGTAGATAAATTTGAAATATTGATCACAAGTGATTTAACTATGATTGCATTTAGGATGATTCCAACTAAGGAATGTGTTTATCAACCTATAACAGGTTTATATGAAGATACTCCAGATTTAATGGCAGTGCTATCTCATTGTTGAGTCATCGTGTTTTCATCATTTTCTATGAATTATGAATTTCTGTTCACAAATATAAATTATTTTATGGCCTCAAAAGTATACATGACATTGGAGAGATTTCCATTTTAAGTAAAAATCATTGATTTCAATAAATAATTTCTAGATTACTCTTATCTATTGGGAGATTCTTTTCAACTGGTCATTTGTTGTTAGATAGATGTTTCACAAGCACTAGCACTGGGCATGGCACTCTTGTATTAGGGTTCACTGGGTACCAAGGAATTAGTGACATACACATAGTTCAGATGAAAGGGAGTCTTGGAATAAGAGATTATACTGACTCCAGGTTTAGACAGAAAACAGGTTATGGGAGAGTTGCAGAGGAAAAAAGAGATACTTTAGGGGCCAGTGCTGTGGTGCAGTGGGTTAACACCCTGACCTGAAGCGCGCATCCCATATGGAAGCCAGTTCAAGACCTGGCTGCTCCACTTCCTATCCAGCTCTCTATTATGGCCTGGGAAAGCAGTGGAAGATGGCCCAAGTCCTTAGGTTCCTGCACCCGTGTGGGAAACCTGCAGGAAACTCCTGGTTCCTGGCTTCGGATCGGCTCAGCTCCGGCCATTGTGGCCAACTGGGGAGTGAACCATCAGATGGAAGACCTCTCCCTCTCTTTCTCTCTATCTCTCTGCCTCTCCTCTCTCTGTGTAAGTCAGACTTTCAAATAAACAAATAAATCTTTAAAAAAAAAGGAGAGATATACTTCATCCTGCCAGTACATCAGAGGGACATAGTTCAAAAACAAGAGCTGACTGGAACTGGAGCAAATTATTATTGTATTTGTGTGGTAATTTGCTTTACAAATTTCTGCAGTGTGCTGTGCGCATGTAGATGCAGATCCATTTACAGCCATGGGGTGGTCAGTGAACAGGGGAGTTGCCCTCGCCAGGAATACGCAATCACCTGGAGAGTTTGCACAGGAATATCCTTCTTGAAGTGGATAGCAAAGCATTTGCTAAAAGGGTTTAGAGTTGGTAGAAGTAATAGAGCTGTGGGGTTGGAAGTGTGGATGGGTCAGAGGAATGAATAGAATCTGGCTCCCTAAATGAACAAGGCACAAGAACAGTAGACTGAGCAGCTCCTCCTAGTTGTGCTTTGACAATAAATATAAAGCAATATAAAACATATATATAAAACAAATAAACAAATCAGTCTTAAAAAATCTTATCTCCTTGCTGTTGTCAGTGTACATGGATATTACAGAAAAAATCCATAGGGGATTTTTTTCCCTGTATTGTAAAGAGCAGGTCAAATATGTGCCTGTGGGAAATTTAGGCTTACCAATTTCTAACCACCAGGGCTACTGACACTACCAAAAGAAGCTGACATCTGCCAATCCATGTGGCTTCCTCAACACAAATGGGTACAAAGAACTTCACCAAGGTGAAGTTCAAGAGAGTCTCCACAGGTGCCAGGAACAGTATAAAGCAGAATCCTGAGTGGTCCAGAGTATCATAGACGCCATGGTGAGGTCAGGGCTTAACTCAAGGGTGACTTGGCCCCCACCACCTTCAAGAAGTCAGGATTATACCTGGAATGACATAGGGTACTTGACAACGTCCCTGAATGGGAGTTCTGAAAAAGAGTGAGTCTGAGCCTTTGCGAAATGATGGAGAAGTGAAGCAAATCAGCATCATCGCCCAGTGTTTGTCCTGACAGATTCAGCTCAGGTGAGTACAGATCCTGAGAACCAGCTCCTGGCCCGTGGCCCTATTTGTGAATATGAAGAGAGATTCTTGAGGACAGAATATGGAATAAAATCAGTATCTACTAAAAGAAGGCTTTATGAAATAGCATCAGTGGGGTCATACTTTCCCAGCAACAGCCTACATTTGGAGGAACGATCCCAACACACGGCAATTGATGCCCGCACCTCAGAGTGGGTGAAGATTCATATGTTCTTCTCACAGCGTCCTTTACCTCACTCTTGAACTTGCCCTGATCTCTGTACATGGAACACTGCCTTCCCAGTGATTTCTGACTCCTGTGACCTCCTGTGCTTAGTTACCTGTGA